GCACTCAGTACAACTGCCCCACAAAGACATGCATGCCAGCAATATAGAGCCTGGTTCACACCTTCCCAGAACCTATTTGCTCCAATCATTAACACTGCATTCCTGCCAGACAAATCACAAGTTATCCTGTGCACAAGGGTTACTCAGAATAAAAGGAAGTGAGATGTGAAAGAGCAAGGGCTTTGAACACATGCTGGGCCACATCTCCAGCTGGTCTAAGTCACTGAAGTCAGTGTAGGTGTATCAATTTGCTTCGTTTAAGGCTTGGTCTCATGTGCACAAAGCAGGCTCTCTGCTACAAATCACCTCCTCCGCATGCTTTCAACTTTTCCTGGAAACTTCACATCAGCCCTGCTGTCTCAGAGGGACCTGGGACAGACCCTGCCATGATCTCCACATTTTACCCAATCCCCCCAGATGAGACATCCTCTCTCCTCCTTCCTCTTGGCTACCCATTTTCTTGCCTCAGCACCTTGCAGCCAAGCACATTGCCATTGGAAGCATCTCCAATGAAAGAAATCCATATAGACTGCCACCCATCACACAAAGGATGCTTATAATAGCACTTGGCTTGACAAACAATGTACGTGAGCAGCCCTGTACAGAGCAGCCTCAGGGACTCAGTTCCTTGTTTTAAGGAAACTCATTTATGATTATAATCCCCATGCACCCCTCATTCAAAATTCAAGAGCAACATCAAAAAAAAAAAAAAAAGATAAAAGAAAACAACCCATGAAATGTTAATTCTCAGAGTAAACAGGAAAGAGCTTCTCTCCTGGCACATCTGTACTGTGAGCACAAATAGATTCAGGCCTGGCCCTTCTAAAGACAGTACCATAAAGACACATACATTAAAGCTACAGTCAAGTCAACCTCAACTCCGGATATTGACTCAAACAGAAACAGACCGAGAGTATTTTTTAAAATTATGTAAAGACAAATAAAGGACCGTGATATTGTAAATTCCCTGATATTTTATCTCTCAGAAACTGCCAGGGACTCACATAAATTTACCTACTAATCTCTCCCAAAGGAGCACAAATAATGGCATGTCAGGGTGAGCAGCAGCATTTCATCAGAAGCAGGAGGCTCTGCTCACGAGCAAGGAGTGATGTACAGAGGCCAAGAAAGATAGAACAAAATTTGAGAGGAAGAGGAAGAGGAAGAGGGAGATGCAACTGCATTAAAAGTATGCTCAAAAAATCAATAAGAGGCTGGGAGCTCGGCTTATTAATTCTGGGCACACTTCCCTATTCTGTTTGTTATTTTTTTGTTCGCTTGATTGCTTTTGTGGGTATTTTTCTTTGTGTTATGTTGGGGAGGGAAGGGGGATTCATTTTTTGTACTTTTTTGTTTTGTTTTCAAGAACGATCACTTTTCTGTACCTTAAGCATGGTGCATACTGAGGCACAATGCAATTTACCGCTGGCTGCCTGAATCTGCTGACAACCTGTGAGTAGATCTAAGGGATGAGCTCCACCTCAGTTATCTCAGGTGAGGCTTCCCCAGGCTCCCCACCACCACAGCCACAGAATTCAATATTTTCCCAATGGAGTGGAGTTCAGCATCTCCTCTTCCTCACCAAAACTCACTTCTTTGCAGCCAAGCAATAAGCATGTTTGTCCCGCTGCCACAGCAGAGCTTGTCTGCAGCTGCTTTTGGTTCTCCTGCCTTCCCAAAAGTGCATACTTGGATTATAATACATGATCCCTGGACTACTCAACATTGCTGTGTCAAGGCAATGCACCACCACAGTTTGCTACAGCCTTCCTTCTTCAGTACGTGACTGAAGAGATCTTGGATCTTGGGAATGGAGAGGAATTTCTTGAATTTGATGTGGAACAAGGGAGAAAGGATGCAAATCCTGAGGCAAAATAAAACTTTTCTGGGCCAAGCACACAGAGGTCTCTAGCAATTATAGAATCACAGAATTGGAAAATATCATCTGGTCTAACTATCCCCCTACTACCAACATCACCCACTAAACCATGTCCCTAAGCACCAGGTCCAACCTTTTCTTAAACACCCCCAGGGATGGTGAGAGTAGACACTGCATCACCAGAAGACCATGAACAGCCCATTTCAGAACCGCAGATGCTTTTTGCTTTCTTGTACATTGAGCACCAGCCATGGGCTTTGTACCACAGGAAAAGCCCACGAGAGACCAAGACTTCACTTCAGAGGCTGACTCCTGAAGTCAGAATCCAAACAAAGGACTTGTTAAATGTACCACTGTCAGACCGCTTCTGGCTCGCTCTTCCCTAGGGAGGGCTTCAGCACTGTGATGGGTTTGCCCCCACACACACTTTTATCACTAAGCGTGCCAGTATGCTACTTAAAGTGAAAAATGGCAACACTTGCAGAGTAACGACAGATGTGGCAGGTATTTAGGAAGAGTGAGATTAAAGGATGTGGCTTACCTCCAAATCATAATGTACTGTCCCCAGCCCCTCTCCCAGTAAAAGAGAAAGAAGGAATTTTGCCATTTTAGTTGGGAAAGAGACTGCAATCTCAGCGGTATTACTGTAGCTCTTAAATTAATGCAAATATTAACTGATGGCATGCCTGAGGACAGGAAGCCATCAAACTGCAAACTCAGCTTATTTTTTAGATAATTTTACTTCTTCTTTTGTTTAAGTCTTCATTATTAGATTTTTTCTATTCATTCCTTTACACAAGCATAAAACACTGGTTCTGTAATGTTCAGGCACATTAAGGGCTCAAATAAAACCCACATTACCAAACACCAGCTAGGCCCCCACACACACTCCTAACCTTACACTGAAGCTGGTACTTTCATCTGAAGGAGAGGAATCTGTCTTGTGGAAAACTTCTAAGACAGATTTAAGCCACTACACAGTTTCAAAGCACAAGCAGAGATTTCTTCATACAATGTATGAAGAAATGTACAGTGAAACTGTAGGAGTAATTGTTCTAACACATGATGTCAGGAGCACAAAGATTTCACGTGGGTTTAAAAAGTGACTGCCCACATTTATGAAAATATATATAGAAAAATAATCCAGGGCAACTGAACACAAAACTACTGCACTTGATGCGAGCCCTTTGGGCAAGTACTCTCAAAACACTGCCTTCCTACCAGCTCCTGAGACGCTGAGCTAAGTAGCCTAATCTTTCCTTGAAGCAGCAAACCCCTTTAAAGAAGCTCTGTTTTGATACTTTCCACCATTTCTTACTACTCCATTCTGATTTACTCAGCAGACATCCCCTTAAAACCTCCAGTGCCTTCAGCTGGGTCTTCCTGCTTCCAGCAATGAGCATGGAAATCGCCCCTTCAAGCTAAGCCCTCCCAGTCTGCCCACGTCCTTCACCCCTGCAGCCTTCCCTCTGCCAGTGAGCAGCCAGACTTAGCCTTGGCAGTAACTGGCTTTTTCACCAACTTCCCTTTCCTCTGCTGCTTTTGCTTAGGTGTCATCTCCCTAGACATCAGCTGCAACCTCCTCCCCTTTGAACTGAGATATATGAAATCATTATTCTTAAGATAATTGTCATTTTGAAAAAAATTTTCAGTGTTGCCTAACAAAGTATACGCACTAGCTTCTGAAAATGACAGAAGAGCTTGTCTAGCTCAGACCAATGACTAGAAAATTGTGAGGATCATGTGTCTTAGAATCATAGAATGGTTTGGGTTGGAAGGGACATTTAAAAATCATTTACTTCCAATACCCATGCCACGGGCAGGGACATCTTTCATCAGGTTGCTCAAAGCCACGTCCAACATGACCTTGAACACTTCCAACATGGAATAGTAGCACGAAGTTGGGTTTTCTGGATCAGTGCATGTTACTCTTCACTCATGCAGGGTTCTTCTAAGCACATGTGCTGGGTTATCCCTTGAAAATATGAATTGCTTACAGTATTCTGGTTGGAATGCCTGAATTTCATGCTCCCAGTCCCCCATGGGAAGTCAGTGTGAAAGAATCTGGGGTGTTAAGTGTTTGGAATCTAAGTACGTATTAAGAAAAATGACTTTAAGTCAAGCAGCTTTCTCCACTTGGCTTAGTAAGTGGTTGGTGCAGAAGGTGTCACATGAAATCTCCTGTAGCTCATTTGTGACTGGTTGGCACCACTCACCAGGGCAATTCCCTACCTCACTGGAAAGATGCGGTCATACTGCAAGTTTTCAACTCCCAAATGTCAGTGTTTAGAAATAGATTGTTGTTAGGGTTACTCTGATATGAGCTTGAAATTTGCCTGCCACATGTTGTGCACAACATTTAGTTGCAATTTTTCTTATTTTGTTTAACAGTCCTGCAGGCAGGCTCCCAGGGCAGACAGAGCTCAACAGCGGATGCAAACACAGACAATTATTGATCATAATATATTTTTAAAATGTATGAGTGTATTTGTCCATCTCTTTTTATGATTCTTTCCCAGCACAGGAAGCATTGTTTTGCAGAGATAAATTCCACATCCTAAGGACCACATCTGCTCTCCTTGACCCTTTCTATTTGCATGGTAACCATATCAGAGACAACAAGGCCACCCACAACGCAACTAATTCATCTCCACTCTCAATTCTTCCACCTCATTAATGGAAAATTCATATACATAAAGACAAAATATTGCCCCAAAGTCTCATCTTACATTTTTCATGGTGAGTTCTGACATGCAATACATATGCTCGTGGAAAATGAATGGATACATAAACACAGAAAACCTACAAAAAGAAGAAACCAACAGATACCTCACAGACAAAGTTCTATTTATTCCGTTCAGAGATTTAATCCCTCACATTGAGGAGGAAGCCCTTAGGTGACACAAGTCAGGTGTGATTGCTTTGAAGCCGTTCCTCTATAAATAAAACTTTCTGGCTTGGGTTCATTTTCCTTCCGCTTGAAGGAAGATACTACAGAATTTGCTGCCTGTAAAGCTGGACTCAGTCAGTCACTACCAAACACATTAATCCTGACATGTTTAGCATTAGAGTCAGACAGCAGCAGTGATTTTAATGAGATCAAAGAAAAGAGTGGACTTACCAGCACACTTCCACCAGCCTTAGGCTGTCTAGCCAGGCTCACGCCCATCCATTCATCATCTCTGTCTTCTTTACAGGTCTTTCCACAGAGCACGCCCCGAGAATTGCCTACAGAAGGAGAAGGGCAGCAAGGCAAGGAGACGTGAGTTTTAAACATCTACAAAGACACCCCATAGGAAAAGTGATTGTCCATCTAACATCTGTCTGTCAGTGCTTTTCTTTTCCCTTTCAACCTAAATATTACTTCTTATATGCGTTAGTCAGGGTGGTGCTCTCACCGTTACTAAGGCATCATCCATAGTAGAAGACAGACACTGTCCCAAACAGCCAGCAGCTATTAAAGTATATCCACAGCTTTACTTGAATAAACCATCCAATTGAAATAAATGGGAGAGATGTGGGATTGCTTGTAGAATGCAGTTAAAAAAAAGTTATCCTGCGAAATGAGATATGGGGCATTTAAAAAAAAATGGGGTCTAAATCTTTAGTCCTCTCAGGCAGTACTCATCAATCCATGAAAGATGGTTTACACTATGGGAGCTGGACAAATCAAACTTGCCAAAATATTGTTTTAATCCACATACGCTTCATAAAAAGAAATTCTATGTCACTCAAATGTGACAAGATTAATAAACCAATACTGACATAGGTTTTATTATAGACGGAGAAATCAATACTGTGAATCACATGACCAAGAAAGAGAAAATACATAAAGACTTCAATTTTCTCCCTCAGAATCCAGCAGGTTTTAGATCAGAGCCTTACTTTGGGAATAGGCAGCCCATCTTCCCCTGATTCAGACAGTAGGTCAGAGAAATGAGTCAATCATGATCACGTGCAGTAGGGTACAAGCACGGCTCTCTCAGATAAACTTATTTCCTTTCGCACATGAAGCAAAGGCAAGGAATCATTAGCTGCATTATGAGACAATCCACAGATTGCCGTGATGCTAATAACTCTGCACACCACACACCCATCACCCCACCACCTGGTCATCCCACACCCAGCTCCACCAGGAGAGGCATATGAATCCCTCTCAGGGACCCAGAGCCTCTTTGAAGCTGGCAGGAGGACTGCAAGCCATGTGGGGTCTTCTGGTCCCTCCTCTCAAAGCATCACTGATACCCACCTCGACCCATATCCAGCTCTGTGCATCTTCTGTCAGGATTGGTGTGGACTCGACATTTAAACACTGCTCCTGGCGACTGAACAGAGGTGCTGTATTTAGAGTCTGCCTTGGGAGCTCCAACCAAGACCCTGGAAACCAAACACAAAGTAACAAGTGATTAATTTCAGGTCAAAAGAAAAAAAAAAAAAAAAAAAAGCAGCAAGATTCGCTTTGCCAGTGGTTCCTCAGCAAAAAGACTTTTTTCCAGCAACCTTGTAAAACGATGACATTGATTCACAAGCTGAAAACAACACTGACAGTGAAAACATTTTTCTCCAGTGAAGCCAAGAATACTTTAATAAGTTAAATTTCCATTAGCAGTGTAGCACTTTTGAAGCAAGTCCTTTTCTCACCCCAGATAGCATTTAGGAGAGTATTAGGAAAGACAACAGCAGCTGCATCTATTTTTCCTCAGTTTTAACTCTATCCCTATCAACCCAAAAATTCCACAAGAGCCAAAATACACCCATGAGATGAGGAAACCTGAACCTGCTTGTTTCCAGCCAGCTTAAATTTAATAAGGCTACTTAGAAAGTTGAGGCACCCCCTTATCAGAAGATTTTATGTAATTACAGTTTTAAAAAGGGGGTGGGGGGATGACAACACAGGAACAATTCTCTTCCACAGTGCCTTGCCATCAGCCCTCATTATCATTAAAGCTGTGACAACTATACCTGGAGTAGTTGTCCCATGTATGAGAACTAGTACCTTGGGAAGTTCCAACACACAGATATGCTCATGGGGTTCCTAGATGTAGCCTTGAAAGACAATAAGCACTTTTAGCTAAGTGGATCATCCCACAAGTGACTGTTTAGCAACCTGATAGTTTCTCATGCCTTCTCCTCATCAAAGGGACAACCTCCTCACCTGGCTGTGAACTTGGATGCAGGCACTTGAGGGTGAGGAAGGAGGTTAAGCAGGAGGAAGGCAGTGCCGGGGAGGACGGTGGGGAGCACCAAGCAGTTCAATATCAGTTCTGCAGATACCCTTGCACTGTGGGGCTGGGCAGAGCTTTTCTATCTAACAAAATCCATGATGAAGTTAAGCCCGGGGCTGGAACTGAGGGAAACCATCTCTAAAAGACGGCCTCCAGTGTTTGTGTGCATACATGTATGTGCTGCCTGTTGACCAAGGAGGCACCACTGTTGACCATGGGTGCTTGACCAAGGAGGTACCACTCTTGGTTTAGCTACTAAAAGGTTAGAGAGCTACTGGTACAAAGTCTGCCCAGGCACACAGCCCACCCATGGCATGGATGGACAGCCCCAGAACAGAAGCTTTCCTGGTGTTAAAGGTTTTCCTTCTTTAAAGTTCCATTCCCAACCACCACCCATTGTCACCATTCAATACAGAGAGACCCAAGGCGCAATGCACGCACATGTCCAGTGCCAACCTGGGCCACCTGGATGAGTTGCCATCAGAAGTCTCTTCTATACCATATGCTTCCCCACACATCTCAAAACCACCCCATGGCACTTGGAAACACATTCACAAAATGAAAAGAAACCCTACATTTTCTCCCAAGTCTCATGAGCTGAGCAGTATCATTTGGAGAAGTTCAATGGGGCTGCTCTCGATAACGCACATCATGTTTGCACAAGTGAGAAGAATTAGTGGCTGAAATGCTTAAGTTCCTTAAGCCTACAAAGCCTGCACACATTGGGGACTGAACACAAAGGAGCCTGAAATAATAGCCCAACATGGAAATCCCACCAGCCAGGCAGCAGGCAGAAAATCCAATGCCAATCATCTCGTTTACACAGGCAATGAATGCACGTCATTCATTTATTGACATTCATGAGGTCCAACAAAAACAAACAAGGGGGCATATTACTAGCTTAAAGAGTTACTGGTTCAAATTGCAAATGGCAAGAAATGTTTCTATGACCTATTGTAACAATAAGGTAATGTGGGCTACGCTGACCTCCAGTTTAAATGAAGCTTTCTTCTAAACCAACAAAAGTAAATTTGATTCGGCAATTAGTGCAAAAGATACCTCAGACTGCAGAATGCCAGATGAAGACCTCTTCCGATCTCTTTAAAAAGCTGAATGGGAAAAATCTGTAATTAATGATCTGAGTAGGCTGGGGGGGGAGGGGGAATTATATGACTCAGATTGTCTTGAGTGATACCTTTCAAAAACATTCGTCACATCTCCCCACGTGTTCTGTACACAAGGAAGGAGCCACTAAAACCAACTGGTGACATGTGCCAGAAGCAAATCTATTTTGGATTGTCCTGAATGGCCAGACATCCAAATTTGATAGCTCGCCTACCTCATACACCATGTAATCTTAGGGTCTTGTTTCTTTCATTCGCTCTTACACTTCCTCCCCAGTGGCTGAAACCTCTGCAGGATTCCTGTTTCCTCTGGTGTGACCCATGCTCGCCTGTGCCCAGCAAGAAGTCACCTTCAGGAAGATGGGAGGTCTTCCTGCTGGCTGCCATGCTTTTTGGCTGGTCAGGTTGGCATTTGTCACATACCACTTACTGTGGTTCTATTCAAAGACTTGAGACTGGAATATTACCTTTGCCAAGAAAAGATTCCTTTACTCTTTCATCAGATTCTGTATGTGACTGCTTAAACTGTTGGAAGAAAATCGCCTATTTAACTGCCACAAGACTCCCAGCAGGTCTTGACAGAAAACTCACTTTTCTGCTAGTGTTTTGGAGCTCACTGAGCAAAACAAATGCCTGTTTTGCATCTCCCCTACACATTAAAACACCTTTGAGGTCTTTGGAGACTTCTGTGAAACAATGCTGCAACCAGAGAAGGTGTTTTTCTCTGGTACCATACCAAAATAGAAATGCATTTCAAAACAAAGCCTCGGAGCCTCACACAGTCTTCTCATGCCTCAGCACTGTGCATTTTGGCCTGACCTAAACACACAGATACATGAACAGCCCAGAGAATCACAACCCTTATTTTATTTCTCTCTCTTTTTTTTTTTTTTTTTCCTATTACCAGGCAACCTTCCAACCATTTTAACAAGCCCTAGGTTAAAATAGCCTAATTTTGTGGTACAGTTCTTCAGCGGTACTGTAGGACTACTTGGACTATCAGCGAGCAAGCACCAGCAGTCTTCCAGCCTTCTGCCAAAGGCTTATGATGTGATTATCCATGAGCATAAGCTCTCACCACAACCATAATGCGTCGCAGGAAGCTCCTAGGTTGTTGTGAGCAGCTGCAGGGAGACACCTCGATCAGGAAACCCCACCACAGGAAAGGGATCACTTCCCAGTGAAGACAACCAAAGGGCTGGGGCCATTTTAGGGTCACTTTTGCTTGACAGGCACAGAAATCTCTAAGAATTGGCTACATCCCACTGGCTCTGTGAAGCAAGTATTGGGATCTAAACTGATATGAGAAGCAGTAAGCAGAAAGGCTGTCACTTCTCTTCTTGCATTCGTACTCCCACAGCTGAGGACAAACGCCCTCATCTGTATGGAGACAACTGTGCAGCCAGAAACCATTGCATTGCAGAGGCCACATCAGCCAATATTAATGGATGACAAGGAGCTGTTCTGGCCCCAGGGAAATCCACACCTTCTTAAAATTACTTCCTGCTGAACAGTAACTATCACTTTGCTTTGACCCTCAGGACGTACAGATTTGGAAACTAAGTGCTGCATTTAGTGGAAAGAACAGTGAAGGAAAGTGTCATGCTGCCCGATGGTGTGGAGGGATGCCAAGCACATTAAGCATCAGCCTGGAACATGCCAGGAGTGATTAGGCAATCACAGTTCAAGGACTGGAGAGAGTAGGTACCTCACCTCGCTGCAATGTTAAGTGGCAGGGGAAAAAAGTCTTTAAATATCCTCACATACCGCAGCGGATTTCAAAAGCAGCGCCAGAGGAAGGTGAAACCCATCCCAGCTGAGCTTCTCCCCATCAGAAAGGTCTTTGCCACTTGTTTAGCCCTCAAAATAAAATAACAAAGGTTCATCCAACGCATGCAGAGCAAGAAGCAGTACCGTTATTGGGGCAGTAGATGAACAACTTGTGAGCAACACCAGCAAGCCCAGATTCCCCACCTTCCTCCACACACCCTTGCTGCACCTACAGCATCCCTATGTCATTGATGTAACACGGCATCGTTAGCACAACAGCCAGCCTCTGCTGGGTCAATCTGCTCCTATGTCTTATTTTGGGCACAGGCAGGTGCATCATAAACTAATGACATCTATCCATCCATCAGCCTGAGATGCAAAACCACCTTCATGCTTCAGCAACAGTGCAATCTGGCGAAGTGCAGGGCCAAAGAAGCGAAGTGGCAGCACAACATCCAGCCTCATTCCTTACTGTAGTTCTCACAGCAGGATCCCATGCAGCTAAACTGACTCCCTTAGTTTTTAGTGCCGGATCATGTTGCCAGAAAGGACGAAGTTGTTACCCTGGGCTTGCTGAGAGATCAGGGGAGGTGTCAGTAAGGAGAAGACATAAGGAGGGGAAAGGAGAGACATAAAATAACATTATTAACAGAAGAATGATGAGGGATGTCACATCATTAACATCTTTTAATGGGGCAAAAACAACATTGTTTCTTCTTGAACTGTCTCCTTGAGAAAAGCAGAGAAAACTGCATTCTTGGTCGCTTTGTCAGGTCTTTACTCCAAGCTTCCAAATTATTTCCAGAGAACAGAAGCACTTCAGCCTGTCTGTGCTCCAAATGCAAGCAACCACCTGTATCCTTGCTCTGCTGGAAATGGCAGTGATGGGGAGACGGGTAAGTCTTTCAAGATTTATGGTCATAAAATCCACTCAAGGAAGGAAAACGGGACATTGTCAGAAAAACAATAACTTCAGCACATCTGTGATGACAAACCTTTCTTAACACAAAAACTGTGCAAAAACAACTCCTAAAAGGAAGCATCATTGCAATTAACTATTTCAGACATGTCAAAGGCACTGACTTTCATCACTATTGCAGTGGAGGCTGAATACCCCTTATAGTTTCTGTGTCTAGATCTGTGTAGCAGTCTAACTATCTGTATTTATTTGACACAACACTTCAAACCAAATATTCCTCCTTTAGTTCCTCTGGCAAGAATATTTGGCTCACATAAATCTTCACAAATTATCAAACTCTGGATTGGTTTACTGAAAACCTGCAGGTTTATGGCAGATAACATAGACAAACCCCTTGTGGTGTTGGAAAACAAGTGGTTGAAACACTGAACTTGAAGAGCTGGCAAATACAGATACCATTTTATTATGAAAAAAAAATGAATTTATATAAAAAGCACATGGACAGACTGCTGAGAATAATACACTTCAGTGATCAAAAGTATGCTACGGGAATAGTGGATCCTTGGGCAATAAAGATTAAGAAGCCTTGAGCTATCAGGACAACATTCTCCCATGTTTGGGAGCGTGTTAACACACAAAATAGATTTAGACAGGCAGGAGACAGCCTTGGATAGGATCGATCACAATTCTGCACACTCACATAGTGCACAGCTCACCAGGCAAGCCATATATGACTGAAACATCACAGTCCAAAATGAACTTAGGTTAACTTCCCACAACAGCATATAGGCCAAAGGGACATGAGAAACTGGAATCATAACATTTCTTTATGAAAAGCTATGAAGCTAAGACTGAAACTGACACACAAAAACAATAACCCTATGACTATTAATAGGAGCTGTATGCTACAATGGCACGAATAGAAAACATTTTTGCTACATATTCCATATAACAGCCTTCACCCTGTCAACAGCATATCAGTTTGAAAGAAAAATACATCACCTGCTAACTTTACAAGCCAACTAAGGAAACAGCTATATAGCTTTGCACACAAAGGCTTCACACAGAAAAACCTGACAAATCCCAAAAATGCTATCAGTTCTACTAACCATTTCCCTCTGCACTCAGCCAATAAAACAGAGACTGTATCTCATGATTGAATAATCTGCAACATGTAATCTCTTTGAAATAGAAGTCAGAGGCTTTTATGCTCTGGAGTGATATCTGCAGGCAGAAGCAAGGTTCTGTCCAGTATGATTAGGATTTTAAAATAGTACTATACAATACTGCAAGCCTTTGTGCCCTACTCAGGGGACGAGGATATAGCTAAAGGCTCAGACGAAGGTTCAGTCCTTTGATGGTCTGAATGCCCAGAAAGATTGGCCAGATATTTTAAGCTCTCCAGAAGAAACATGTTAAACACTTAAAATCGATTTTACATCACAGTACAAAAATAAATAAATAAAAAATGCTTGCACTCAGAATAAGCCCATTCAGTTCAAGGCGACATCTCCACAAAACTGAAGAAGGCTGCACATACTTCTATGAGCAAAACTCTTTGCTGTCCCATCACAGCTTCACAATCCTACCCTCACGATTTTTGACAGCCCTGTGCAGACGCTGACCATATAAAGCTGCTGCTCACCCTTCCAGGTGCTAGGGCTAATGTTCTTTTTAGTTATTTAAGAACAGTTTGTGATGTTAGACACTTTATGGTTCTGGGTGCCACAGGCAGGGCTCCGTGAAGAAGCTCTGTTTTCAGAAAACAGGTATGAAATAATTTGGGGCATCAGACTAACTACAGATGTCTGCCTTCAGAGGGATGCCCTGGGCCACTGGTCCAGCATCATTTCCAGGCAAAGCGGGATGTCACTGAGATTCTCCTCCCTGCTCACCCTCCTTTTCCAAAATGACACCAGTAGGTGCCACCTGAAGATAATCCATGTCACCATCCAGAAGGACGGGCACTAAGACAAGGGACAACAAGCTGCATCGTTCTCTTCTCACCGGATCTCGCTCACCCTGTGGCCAGCCCCCCATGCTCGGTGTTGAACACAAGCCACTTTCAGCCTTTTCATCCTTTGCTGCTTCCTGCCCTGAGTTAAGCATCGCTGTGAACTGAGAGCTTTTCTTTCCGAGAGCTTTTCCTCCTGAAGCCTCCTGATAAGTCCTTAACAGTGAATACTCTGAGAAAGCCGCTGCGCAGAGAGGCAAAGCACACAACTACTTGTGAACTAAAGGGCATGAAAAAGAGTCATTTTGGACAAAGTGGCTGCCAGCATGAATACGTTGATTTATCTATCACAGTGCGCTACAGTTCCAACACCAACAGCTGAGCAACTGGGCCGTATCTATGCGTGAGAGATAAAGGCGAGCTTTGTGGGCACGCACTGGCATCGGCGGCTCCTGCCTGTGGAAGGCCACCAGACGACACCAGCTAGGTCCAGCTAAGAGAAAAAATCCCTTTTAATTCTAACAAAGAGCCTCTGACCCAGACGAGGGAAGAGAGACCACGCTCCGGGGCTCTTTTCAAGCAAGAGAACCAACGAGAAGCTTGCCAGTGTGGGTAACTTGGAGGGGAAGAGGACAAACTTCCTATCCTTACCCAAAAAATCAAAGTTACGTGCCCGTTCCCCCGTGCCTCGCCCCAGCAGCGGGCACACACCGGCTCTCCCAACGCTACCCCTCCACGACCGGCACTGTCACCGCGAAAAACACTGCTAAAACCCATTTTTTCCCCCCTTTTCCCCCCATTTAAGGCGGCACGACGGCTGCTCGCAACGCCTTTCCCCCCGGGGCCGGGTGTCCGGCGGGTCCCCCACTCACCACCGGGTGCTGTCGTGGTAGTGCTGCAGCACCGAGTACCCGAAGAAGGACCCGTTGGGGCCCTGGAAGACCACCGGGAGCCGCAGGTCCACGTTGTAGCAGCGAGCCAGGGCGGCCACCAGCAGCGCCGCCAGCACCCGCCACCCCGCCGCCATCCTGCGAGCCCCAGCCCCGCCGCCTTCTCCTTCTCCTCCTTTTTCTTTTTCTCCTCCTCCTCTTCTTCTTCCTCCTCCCGGGTTCACGTCTGTGCCCGGCTCGGCTTCGCCCCGAGCCGCCAACCCCCGGCGGGACTGGGCGCCCCGCTCCGCCCCGCACCGCCCCGCGCCGCCGCCGCGGTGCCCCCTGGCGGCGGTTTCCTGCTAACACCTAACCTAAATCTGCCCTCTTTTAGTTTAAAACCATTCCTCTTGTCCTGTCGTCTACCCGAGTGAACAGTCCTCCTTTTTACAAGACCCCCTTTAAGTACTGAAAGCCTGCCATGAGGTCACCCCAGAGCCTTCTCTTCTGTAGGCTGGACAGCCCCAGCTCTCTCAGGCTGTCTTCGTAGGAGAGGTGATCCAGCCCCTTGATCATCTTTCTGGCCCTCAAGCAGCAACATTCACGGCTAAACAAAGGCTTAAAGTAATTGTGCTAATATTTTAAAAGGTAGACTGTCTGGGAGCAAAACTAATCGGTCAAATTTGCAATAAAAGGTGAGCAAGAGCCGAGGCAAGAAGGCAGTCACCTCCAGTGGGCAAGAGAAATGTCACACATCCTGCTGCATGAAGAGGGGAAGGGAGCTACAGGATAAAACTCTCAGACCTTAGAGCCCACACATTTATTATTCAGCAAAAAAAAAAAAATGGCAGTTGTTGTGCTTGGGGTTGTTGTGAAGGTGTCTTTAGGCTGATCTTTAGGATGAACACCAGGAGCTCAGAGAAGTGCAACCACAGAGATAACTGGCAGCTTTATTTGTTGCTGTTAGCCCTTGTTTTAGCTACTTCATTCCACGTACTCTTCTCATCCAGGAGCAGGGTCACTGGGAGAAGCGCAGTAGATCCCAGGAAATGCAATGGCAGAGGGGCCAGGAGCTCCAAAAAGACGGGAACTGTTGCTTCTTGCAAGCAACTGGAAACACACAGACACATGTTCAGCATTTCTTGTTCTGGCACAAGCCGGGTGTGCCTGGCACCTGAGGTTTCTCAGGAAACTTGCTGCAGATGACAACAGTGAACCCTAATGCAGGATGCTGTATGTCAGGGCTGTTGGAGAGTTGCTGTGGGAATGCTCTTGAAGGTAAAGTCATCTTTCAGTACAGGAAGCTCACAGGGAAAGTTTAACATCTCCTGTGAAGGGATTGAGCTGAGTGTGGGCTTGTGCTGAGGGTGCATGTTCAGCAAGAAGGTAATTTTGTGGTAAACTGTTTCATGGTATTGACTTGGCTCTTTCAAAAGCGTAGCTTGTTCCTGCAGGGGAACATCCTCAGATAAAAGCCATCTCTGGACTGTAGGTAAGCATTGACCTTGAGCATCATCTGCAAGTGCCCTGGGGCTGTGCTTGTATACATACATGTTGCTGTTTGAAAACTGCCCTTTTTGATGTTGAATGTGGTGCCAGAAAGTGGATGTGAGCATAGGAATATTCCGGGGACAAGTTAAGTAGAGCGGCAGCAATTACAGAATTAGGTGGTGGAAAAAATCAACAGAGGAAGGGAGGCTTCCAGACATCCAGATATTTGATACTTGCTACATAAAGCTTAGCAGTGTACTTATTTAAAGCCCTTGCTCAAGATGGCTCATGGAAAGGCTGGGGCATTTTGAGTCTTCAGTTTTGGGGGGTTTAAATTGCAAATTATTATGATGCAAGGACTTAGCAACACATTACCTTGAAAGGAAAGGTTGAACTAGTAAAAGAGACATGCTTCTGCCACAGACCTTGTCTGTCTGCAGATTACTGTAGCTCCACCACCACAAAGGTCTTCAGATCTGCTTCAAAAACAGGTTGAGCAAAGCAACATTGCACTGTTCCTTTATTACCCTTCTGTAAGCTTAAAGAGTGTGTTAATTAACCACACATAATCTATACACAGGCTCATACACATAAGTATGGCCAGGGTTATGCAGAATTGAACAGTGAATGTTCTCCAGTATTAAATCTAAGTGGCACAGTGCTAAACACTAAATAAAAAGGAAAGGTCACTCATCAATACTTTCAGCCGTTGGTGTACGATCAAATTGAAAGAACCAGTTTACTCATTACAGTGCCAAATTAAATCAACATGGCATTTACGTTGTTTTAGCAAGGATATTTACAACATGTAATGAAAAGATTTTCACGGGAGTTCTCTAACTGTGCAATCAATATGGATAAAAGTAATCTGATTTAGCCAGAAAGTCAATATGCAGTGATTAAGCAAATTCCACAAATGGCACTCAATCCCATTAGCACTACCAAGCCAAATTCTCTGCACTTTGAAGCAAGAAAGCGATGGGGCTTTTCAATTAATTATCCAGGCACTGAATGATGCTAGACAGCTCTCTAATGAAGCTAAAGGAAATGCGAGCTGACACACTGGGGAGAAGGATGGGTTCATTCATCTCCAGAGGGATGAGAGAAGCAAAGTGGCTAGATGAGGTGAATGCAACACTTGTCTCTCACGTTGTAGAGCGCTCCCAGGAGGGCTTCTTTCAAGTAGCAGCGATACAATATGGAGGTGTGTGAGTCCATGAAAAACTTTAGCTCTCTATTCCTGGTAAGGAGGATTATCCAAGGACAGGCCAGGAACACTGTACTCCCATGCCCTTCCCCACTCCTTTTTTTAATTTATTTTTATTTTTTGTTTTACTGCGCATCCAAATACTAACGTAATCTCACAACATTTAATCCAATGGGAATTTTGGCAAGCAGAGCAGAAACAGAAAGTGCATGCTTAGGTCTTTGTAGTTTCAGCTGTTAAAATCCTGGCATGCACTAGAAGAAATGAAAGCAATGGGAAGCATCTAACTGCAACTATAAGCATTATAATAATGTACTGTTAAATGAATATTATGCTAACAATAAGGACTGGGAACAAGGAATAGTGCACTAAATCATATGCCAACCTTTTGTTAATGAACTATTCAAACTGGAATTAGCTGTGCCTGCATTTCTATATCCCTGTGTTCTCTCTGCTTCAACCTTGATGTTTGTATTGTCTGGGGAGGCTCCATACCTGCATCATAAGGGTAATTTGTAGTTTACACCATTCTATATTAATGAAGTACTTAACTGCAGTTTAACATTCTCTATTTTGGCAGCAGTCGGTCTCCAGATCAGGTTTTAAATTAGAAAAGTTATTTGTAAATTGGGGACCTACAGTGAAAGCACCCTTGACAATACTTTTTAATTAATAACTTGAATTGCAGAGCTAAGAAACACACACACACACACACACACACACACACACACAGAGTAATGTTCTGACTACAGAAAGAGACAGAAAACAAATGTCTGCATTGTTTACAGCATCACTGTGTACAAACTTGGTTCATTAATACAGCGTGTTAAGAGGTAGTTCCCCTCCTGCAGGCTTCTCCTCCCAAAATGCCACTTCTCACATTATTAATAGCTTCTGAAAAATACCTAATTTTGCTTCTGCAGTGAACATATTGAACTCAGTATCATTTTCATAATTTTGATGAATACCTTGTTTAACTTTAGGACACCGCTTTTTGTTAGGCTAATCATTTGCTTTTCCTTGCATTTACACCAAAAAAGTGCTGCGGTGTCCTGGCAGTATTATTGTGCTTGAGGTTTTACTGTCTCTTTTAAGCTGGTCCACATGTATAACTCAGATGCGCTCCCACATGGGGAGGAGGAGAAGGGGAGCACATATGCCTGTGCTGCCACTTCTTCTCCCACCCTGGCACCATCACCAAGAATGCCCCAGCGGTGGGCAGGCATCCCACGAGCTTGTTAATATAAGGGCTGCTGCCTCCTCTCCCAGCCATTACCTATACATTTATGTCAGTGTGTGCTTAGTGAGGAGACTTCAGTGAACTTGAATTTAAAACTAAAGCTTTCCCATCACAGCTGTGAGACTTGCTGGTTCTTCACAGGCATTCTCTGTATTTCTCTGGCAAGTGCTCAGTACAAGGAGGTTGGTCACTGTGTTTGTAAATCAGGTCTTAAGGGTAATACTACAGTTTATTTTTAGCCACAGAGCTGTGTGATCTAATCCACCTTCAGACTCAGCTGTGATGAGCTAAGGAGACCAAACTTCTTCAGTCTTCCTGTGGAAGAGAGATTTTCCAGACATTTTTGTAGCTCTTCTCGCGCATCAGGTCAGAAGCACCCTTTTCAATTTCTCTTTCAGTGTGGCTTTGTGAAAAATATTTATCATGGCTGTGTCTCCCATTGAACCAGAGAGAAGAGGACAGCCACCTTTTGTTACACCATAAAGAGAAGAGGAAAGACTTTTCTTCTTTCCTCTTTTCAAGCCCCCATCAGTGCTGAAGCAGTCAAAGAGGAGGATGCTACTTTGAAACATAAATACATAAATGGAGTAATTATGAAAAATCAGAAAAATACACTAACACATATTGATAAAATATGATAAATACCAAGTACATTTCATAAAGAGGGAATTCCCCACATTCACTTACCTACCAGTGAATTAGGTAGGAACCTGCTGGATCAACGGGGACAGAGCTATGGGTTTTCAACACAACAGCAGTCATACTGTGAGAAGCTTTCTACTTCAATCTGTCAAGCAGTAAATCATTGTCAGCATCTAGATTTATCTGCAAATCTAGACTGCAATTGTCATGGTACAAACTGTATCTTCAAATGTTGTTCCCATTAAGTGAAGGAGATGTTTTCTTGTTTCTCTACTTGGGTAGAGTTTTCCAAGTAGATTTAGATGCAGAAAACTTTATCTGGGTTGAAGACAGAATCAGTACAAACCTTAGGTGATACAGAAGCTGATGATTCAATCAAAAATCTTCTTCTCATAATAATAACTAAAAGAACAGTGTATAAATACAGAATTTTCAAAGCCCCATTTGCAAGAAATCAATTTTCCCTTTTTAAATATTTAAGGATTTTCTTTTCTTAAACTGTACTATTTCAGCAGCAAACCCATTTATTTAGTGATCCAGACTCACCATTCTTCTATCCCCTTGAAAACTATGCATTAGCATTAGACTTAAACACTTGCCCTGGCTTTCAGTAGTGGGGGTATATTTCAACATGATTTATGGTCAATTCGTGCTCAAATGAGAATGCATCTTATAATGTAAAACATATTTCTAAAACATTTATCATATGCCGTATACCAGTAAC